AGAATAAAAGCTTACTTCATGCTTGTTGCAGTGGTACCACTTGCTTTTGTCAGAGACAAAAATTACGTCTGCTATTTATTTTTGAAATGACTCATCTTTTACAATTTCGCAACAAAACATGGCGTTCGCGAGTTAGCGCGTATTTTTCGTTTAAATGTAAATCATTATAAGATCGATATATTTATGTTATAAGGTTCATTCTTATAATAAAATGAAACTTCGGAATCTTATCTTTCCATTGGTATAAGAGTTATCTAATTTCACCGACTTTAAATGTGCTTAACATGCAACGGAAAAAAACTTTACATAAATCGACATATTCTGTCGCCCGCCACTCCAGCGGCACATTTTGAAATCGACATTTTCTGTCGGTCTGCCACTCCTAGGGTTAATGGAGAAGTAGGTTTTCAAGCATAGTCGCCACGGCAGGGCGTAGCTCAATGGTAGAGTTCTCGCTAGTCGTGGGGCGGGTCCCAGGTTCAAATTTGTGCAACTCACTATACTTTTTTATTCCATTAATTAAACTTTTACGCGTTTTTACATTAAAATAACATAATCAACATCTAATTTTTTTATTACTTTGAATAACAAATTCACCATACCAAAATGGATTAAAAGTAATGTTTTTATGATAAGCAGTTCAGTTCAACGCCCAAAAATCAAATATACGCCTACAAAATTGTTAGTACATCACAGGGTTTTTAGCTTTTTAGGAAAGCAAATAATAAGCACCTCAAAAAATACAATGCCACTCCTCTTTAAAATTGTCTTACTATTATTTCTAATAAAAATGTCTTTAAATAAAACCGAGAGCCTTGGGTGTAAAATAATCTAATTAATGTTGCAATGTTGGATACATTTGTTATATCTTTGTATGCAATACGGTATGCGGTTTTAATTTGATTTCTCTCAAATCTTAAAAATCTTTTTTCTGTCATGGCTAATAGTAAAAATAACCATGAAATTTAACCCATGTAAAATTAGACTAAAATTTCACAGAAATTGATAACTTATAATTATAATTGATTCGAATAGGGCGATTGTAAATACATTATAACATTCTATTTCTCTCATTTTGTACTACGCCACATTTATTGATAGTAATTTATATCTAATAATTATCATTTTAGCACTCACAGATCTATTTTCATCTTAAATTGCAAACGTGAGCCAATTTGAACTTAAAGAGCAAAAAGAACTTAATAATTCATTTTTTTAATGATGTGAGTAATGAAATAACTCTCTTTCCAAAAATACTAGTCTACTTCAAATAATACGGGTGTAGAGAGGTTGTTAGAAAATGGCAAGTATTTACCAGTGTAATTTACAAGAGTAAAACTTTATGAAACACATTGCTGTCTACACTAGTAAAAACCACTAGTAATACTAGACCCTACACTAGTAACTAGTATTTTACACTAGTAGGTTTTTGAAACGTAGACTTGTAAAATACACTAGTATTACTAGTCCATGGACTAGTAAATACTAGACTAGTAGTTTTATGAAACAGGGCCCAGAGCGCTCATCTCCCTGCTCGGCCTGATGTCTGGTTTGCCGTCTGGATCGGTGTATGGACCCGTGACACACTATCAAACATGCTCCCTTCGACCTCCCTTCTCCCCTCTCCCTGCTCGGTTCGGGGAAAAGATCGATAGTGTGTCACCGTCTTTAGCGAATTGACCAAATTACTGTTGGACTTTGTTGGTTATGCGGTTTAATCACTTCCATTATTTTCAATGCCACAAATTTTTCTTAAGAATAAGATTACCTATTCAATTGTAATATTTAAAATGTGTAGGCCTATTGTAAGATGTCTCATTTGAAGTAGTTAGCTATATTGTATCTTACTGTATTTATTAACTGACTATGCTATAAACCTTAGCAGTTGTATGACTTTGTCAATAATTTGTGAAAATTCTAAGGACAATAAACACATTTCATTTCATTCATTTCATTTCATTGTCACGTTTTGAAAGCGAAATCCAAACCAAGTGAGATTAAAAAATATTTTCTTTACATAAAGGATTTAACTAATCACAAGTTGTGGGAAATACAAAATTTCCCAATTTCTCTCTATAGACCACTTTAAAGAATTTAAAAAGACAATTAATTAGGCAATGACCTCGAAAGGAGCGCGGGTAGCAACAGTGAGTGAGTTGAGTAGGACGGGAGGGGGGAAGGGGTGGGTACGACCTTGAAGCTATATATAGACTTGCACTACTTCCCTAAACCTAAAGGACTGATGATGGCGAGTGGTATTCTAACCACAGGACAAGATACAACGTTGTTTTCGGGTATTCATTGTCCGGTTTGACTTTGGATTGTCTTATTGTGTAGAAACTTAATAATTTTGAATAATTAAAAATAAAATTAGGACTAACCACGATTATTTAGCATTGATTGTGTATATTAAATTATTAAATAGTAGGGACCAGACGAAATATACAAACTTTTGTCATGATTTGAATTTCAACATCAAAATACAATATTGCACAATCATGATATTTTAGGTCATTGACTATTATACATCCGGTATTGCTGTTTCATAAGAGAAGCACATTGATAAATTATAAATTGATATTCCTGTAGTTAAAAAGAATTATTTTATAAACCTATAAAACAAAATCATAAAATCTTACATAAAGATAATAACAATAACAGCAACTGTAAAAAGGGTATAAAGATAACAACGTCATTATTCTTTCTCTTTGTTCTTCTATTTCTTGGGTTTCCCTTCATCACGCATTCAACAAGTTGCCATGGTCACTAATCACCCATGTCGTTATCAGCTTTTGTGACATAGCGCACAGCAGGGGGTAAAACTTGACGAAAATCGGTTAATGTTTACCTATTATTTAATTACTAATGTACTTTGTTGGTACTGTATTAATAATCGGTCAGATTGGCCGATTTTTGTCAAATTTTACACCAAATTTATTGAAATTGTCTGGGTTGCCCTGGGACCCTCTGACCTACAACCCCGCCTGGTTGTAGATCAGAGGGTCCCAGGGCAACCCAGACAAGGGTCGGTCGTAAAATATTTGAGCGAGTGCGGTCACAGGGTCCCAGGGTTACCCCTCATTAGCGCTGGGACTCTCTGGCAACTCCAGCCAAGAGAGGATTAGGCCACTGAAATACCCCACATGTGGGGTTACTGTTAGACATAAATTATATTGCATTTCAGTTGCATCACAACCTTTACTATATGCACAATTTACTATGGAGGTAAAACTTGATGTATTACTAGTTTCAAGGATTATATTTTTGGTTTATGTATTTTAATCAGCCTTGTTGAAATATCAGAATTGATAACTTAATTGAGATTTAAATCTATCTTCCAATGAAAATCTATTAAACAACTGGAAAAATGCAAAAGAGAAAAATAAACAATCAACTATAAATAAAAGACCAATTTAACAACTGACACACTGTACTATATCTACACAATAATATCATACAAAGATCTCAAGGGGTCTGCTGTGAGAATGCTAATCAAGTACGTAAAAACTAACAAAAATGTAGTTACCATACATTCTCGGATCTGTTTAGGACTGTTCATGCTTCGATATCGACCGAGGGCTTTGCTTGCTGATTTGTTAATGAAATATTTATTTAGTTTTATCTATCTATCTATCTATCTAAAATACTAATGTTCGGGTAAACACTGTTATGTATGAAACGTTTAGATCACATACAATAATAAAGTCGTAAAAAGTAATAGCCTAATTTATTAAAAAATATATAGGGTTAATAAAAAGTGTGGAGACCCCCTGTTATTTTTTTAACAGCCCATACTATAAATACTAAACTCGGCACACCTTTATAACATGTTATGAAGTACTTTTGGGGCATAATCGCCACTTGGTGTACATCCCCAAAATGGAGGATATTTGGGGAAACTCAAAAATTTCAAACGGAAAGACCCATCGAGTGACCTCTCATTTTGAAGATCCTGGTAAAAGAAAACCAACAACGCAAATTAGAGGTCTCTATCTCAATCCAGTAAAAAAATTAAAATGCAATTATTCCATAGAAAACAAATCACATAAAGTATTGGGTGCTAAGACATTGACAACAAATACATAACCTCTAAATCACAATTAGTAAATTAAAGCAATAACAATAAGGCGTCGACTCAAAAAGAGCAATTTTTTGCCGAAAGAGGAAGAAGAAAGTACAGTCAACCGTCAACTCAACAGCTCGATAGGTGGTGAGTAGTTTTGGTTGGATAAGTCCACCGTCAATCATTTGAAAATACAAAACGATTGGAAATAGAGTTACTCAACACTCAACTCAACAGTCAACCATTTCAAAAATAGGGCCCCAGCTGTTAGTCAGACTTGGACAGTTCGAAGTTGCAGAAGCAACACTATCATTGCTGCCCAACCGACAGAAAGCTATGTTTTGTTGTACAGGGACAGAAGGCAGTATGGAGTTGGCCCAGCTGTTAGTCAGACTTGGACAGTTCGAAGTTGCAGAAGCAACACTATCATTGCTGCCCAACCGACAGAAAGCTATGTTTTGTTGTACAGGGACAGAAGGCAGTATGGAGTTGGCCCAGCTGTTAGTCAGACTTGGACAGTTGGAAGCTGCAGAAGCAACACTATCATTGCTGCCCAACCGACAGAAAGCTATGTTTTGTTGTACAGGGACAGAAGGCAGTATGGAGTTGGCCCAGCTGTTAGTCAGACTTGGACAGTTGGAAGCTGCAGAAGCAACACTATCATTGCTGCCCAACCGACAGAAAGCTATGTTTTGTTGTACAGGGACAGAAGGCAGTATGGAGTTGGCCCAGCTGTTAGTCAGACTTGGACAGTTCGAAGTTGCAGAAGCAACACTATCATTGCTGCCCAACCGACAGAAAGCTATGTTTTGTTGTACAGGGACAGAAGGCAGTATGGAGTTGGCCCAGCTGTTAGTCAGACTTGGACAGTTCGAAGTTGCAGAAGCAACACTATCATTGCTGCCCAACCGACAGAAAGCTATGTTTTGTTGTACAGGGACAGAAGGCAGTATGGAGTTGGCCCAGCTGTTAGTCAGACTTGGACAGTTGGAAGCTGCAGAAGCAACACTATCATTGCTGCCCAATCCACAGAAAGCTATGTTGCTGGCTAAGGTAATCTACTATTATAAATAGTACATACATGTGGTTAATTTTAAGACGGGGTTTAATGATTATCGAAGATATCACCCAACTTTTAGTTTTAACTTAAGGCAAATATGGCGACTTTGATTTGTGCTAGCACTGACACTAGTAGCAGACTAGCATCCCAGCACTTATTTTCCCTAATTCTATGCTTTTGTTTCTATGTTAATTTTATAAAGTTTTCAATAAATTAGTGGTCTGCGGGCCAGACTTTTTTCATTTGGGTTGGGTCGGGTCGGGCCGATAATTTTGGCCCTCGGTTCTTGGGTCTAAATCGAGTTGGGCCAAAAATCATTAAAACTGTTGAAAAAACTAAATAGCTACATTACAACAAGTTTTTAATGGAACTTAATATAAAAATATCACAAACAAATCAATTAACATATCACAATTTTAGGGCCTGTTGACTAACTTCAAGATTGCAAGCAAGAAGAAAATAAAAATTCTATGTTTCCACCATGCAATATGATATTCATCATTCATTCTCTGCCTCCTAACCTCCGAAGTATAAAAACCTCACACTTGCAATAGCATTATTAGTTACACGAAGATAAATACATAATTATCTATTACTAGCTTCTGTACCCGTGCTTCGCAAAGGGGATGCGAATTACGGAACGCAAGAGAACATTTTGTTCTTTTAATGTGTTGAATAAAATAATCACGCATCCACCATTGATTAAATTGAAACAAAATTCAAATGCACCACTTTATTTGAGTTCATTTTTTATTCAGATGTACCAAGTGGAAACGTATTAGGCTACATAGTACGAAATTTAAAGTGGAGCTGATACACTTACGATTATATTGCAACTATACCTATTTCATTTTAGTTTTAAAGTAGTTTTTTTAATTATTGATGATATTCTTTAGTTTAATTTAAGCAAAACACAATAACTAAATTTACCTAAATACACATGTAAAAAAAAAACAATGTGATGTGCAAGTTATGTTAAGTTAATCTAACACATGTTAAGCAGTTCGAATTTATTTAAAGTATCCTCCAAATTCAAACAAAACATAAATTGTAATTTTCTTACTGTTTCCATGAAAATATATCAATAACATTATTTTCATAACACTTAAGATAATTTGAAAATCGAAAGCAGAGCCTGAGTTGATACAGCAACGCATTTAGAATATTTTTTTAATTTCTATAATCATTGACATAGTTTTTGAATAAATGATCTTTACCTACGACCATTTTTTAAATTAGCCATTTCAGTTCAGTTCTTAGAATTGAAAAGTTTCACTTAACAGCTGTTTACTTTCATAACAGCATAGTTTTCTCATAACAACAGGGGTAACGGACCAATGAGGTTCAAGGATTGAGAGAAAAGATGTAAAATTATAATGCTTCAAACGTCAACTAATCAGCTGATCAGCTGATCAGTTGACAATTTTAATTGTTGATCCGGCTTGTTCCTGTTGATACTCGCGTATTCTTAACCTAAGTTGGTGGAAGTTAAAGGAAGCTGGATTAAACTGATTTAAATATGTCAGTTAGTGAAAGTGAAGTTGACGAGATGGAAATGAGAGGACAAAATGTATGTGCTAATCTTTTGCACCAAAATCGAAACAAAGGTATGGAATTACATACCAGCAATTTTCATTAATTGGACGAAACAAAAAGAGGTTAAATTGGTAAATGAAAATGCGCTTCTGGTTTATTTAGAAAACCTCTTAACAACTTTTAAACCAACTCGTTGTGGACCACATATTATTAAACTGCAAATTAACTGTTTCACTACATTATTCAATTGTAAAAAAATGCAATATTTCCCTAATTGTACTTGATACAGTATTTATGGTAAGAATGCTGCTAGCAGAGCCTATTCCCTGAAAAAAGTAACGTATTATTTAGCGAAGTTTTACAAACACGTAATTACACGAAATCAGCTGATTATACAATAAGTTGTTGCATTACTTTCAGTGGCAATGACAATAAACGAAAACATAACCTCTCTAAGAAGTTATGAGAAGTGATTGTTAGTAATTAAAAACCAGATTGTTAGTACTGTAATTAAAAAAACGGTCGTAAGTAAAGTAGTGTACGCAACTCGCGTTAATAGTCTTTACGACACTCGTAGAAGTTTTTAAGGCACTCGCCAAGGCTCGTACCTTAAATTTTCTACTCGTGTCGTAAAGACTAACTTAACGCAATCGTTGGGTAAACTACTATTAATACATTTTTAGATTAAATAAACCAACCACATAATTGTGTGAAATACTATATTTAATTTCATTGGATCAGTTGTCTTAAACTGTGAAATATGCAATTTGGCAGTACTTCTTTCTTATTTACATTGAAATGTCAAAGCAAATGTAAACATTGTGAGTATTTTTATTGCAGCCGTGGAGACCAATCAATATTTACTTTTTAAATCCTCACCTCAGAACTTTAAAAGCCAAAGGGGCAAAGCCCACGGTCAGTATCAAAGTGTGAATAGTCCTATAATGGTCCTTGGTATGGTAGCTATATATTTTTTTTAAATTCAAGCCCAATTGGTTCAGTAGTTTTTGCACCTATTAGTAACACACATACAGACAGACACCATTAGATTTTTATATAATAGTATAGATAGATTGGCATTAGTAGGCCTAAGAATAAGACATTAGTAGGCTTTACATAAGAATTATTTTTTATAGGGCCTAAAATAGTAATAGGCTAAGCAACAAGGCAAGTTGAGAACTTATTGAAGAAAAGATGTTTGTTGACTGATTTACTCAAAAACAGTAATTAACACACACATTGTTTATGGTATAATTAGTAAGGACTGTAAAAATTACATATCATACAATACAGTAGTATAGACAGACCTAGGCCTACTGCAAGAGATTAAAATCTAAAAACAACTGATTTCGATAACTAATAAATTAAAAATCCATAAACTCAAGTCAAACAATATCACAATTAATTAGGTACCCAAAAAGGAACTCTTAACTAATATATAGAAGACTAGCAGAGTACCCACCCGTCCTTCGTACGGGATTGGCATATATATATATAAAATCCAATGAATGTTTGTTTGTTTGGGCTTTATAGACTTCGAAACCGCTCGACGGATTGTAATGAAACTTTCAGGCATTATTAAGCATTATTCAAGGATGGTTTGTGTGAAGTTTGGTGCAGATCCGTCAAAAGGGCTCCGCCCCAGTGGCTCTGGAGTTTCCCATGTTAACTTTATAAGTACTCATATTTAAATGGAATTAAAGAATCTTAACAGCTGGTTCAACTAAACAGTTTGATTTTGTGATGTTCAATAGCATTAAAAAGTTAATAGGTTTACCAACAGGGTGCAGCACTATTATTTTTCTTTAAATTTATGACAACGGCTAATTTGCAAACAAAAGGTGAGTGAGCGTAGCGAACAAACTTCAACCTGGAGGCATGTGAGCGCAGCGAACGAGCTACAACCTAAAGGTGAGTGAGCGTAGCGAACGAACTTCAACCAGGACGTGATTTAGCCATGTGAACGAGCTCATCTTGAAAATGAACGAGCATTTGACATAAAACCATATTAGGTCGGGCCAGCTAGTATAAGTATAAAATGATTAGTACAGTTATACTCAACCTTTGCGTTTGCAATGGGGGAGAACACAGTATGATACGAACAATAGAAAAAAATAAATTATTAAAGATTCACAAAATATCACAAATTATTCGTGAAATCAAAAACTGTTCTCATTGCGTATCACAGTTTTTTGTTGCTGCTTAATTCAAATTAGCTCTTTTCATAAATAAAAAAAAATTAATAATGCTGCACCCTGTTGGTAAATCTTATAACTTTTAATGCTTTTGCATACCATAGAACCAACCTTTTTAGTTGCAACAGCTGACTAAATTCTTTCATTCCATTTAAATGAATACTCATAAGGTTAAAGTGGTAAACTCCAGAGCCACTGGGGCGGAGCCCGAAAATATTTTTTAAGAAAAGAATATGCCTATATGTTAATCGGGAATGTGAGCTATCATCATGCGAAATTTCAGCCCAATCCATCCAGTAATTAATGCGTGACTGAACTTCAAACAAACAAACAAACAAACACACAAACTTTCACATTTATAATATTAGTAAGGTAAGATTATACTAAATCAAGTACCAAGTAAATGTCAACTTGGCAACATAAGCAGAGACACTATAATAGTGCTCTAATTAATTAGTAACACAAGTCAATGTTTTTGAAACTGCAGGGTCTTTGTCTGGCACTCAAGGTCATAGACCTCCCCTCCCCCTCTTACACCACCCAGTTGCTCCAAATTACTTACACAATTGCTGACAAATTTGTGTGACTAAACAAGAAAGTTAGTAGAGACAAAATAGTTATTTGTGCAACTAGTGAGCAATTGCACTTTGCACTCGAGTTGCACATTATATTTTTCCTACAGATACCATCAAACAAATAAATTGGTAAAGAAACGTAACATATTTTTACACAGAAATGAACTTTTAATATGACATTAATGATACAACAGTAAAACAGCTGACCAGCTGATTTACAGCCAGTGCTGCTAACGTATTTCGCGCGCATACGACCTTGTCTGCATGTTACACGCTCACTATTTTGTGACTTCACGTTGCAAATCTGGAGTGAGACAAAGTAATTAGAGTGAGACAATGTTAACATTGTCTCACTGATGAGCGAATTGGCCACTTTGCTTTCTCAAATCAGTGAGAGAACATGTACATTATTAGGTAACTGTAGGAAAAGATATATTTCTTTATTTAAAAACATAAAACTGTTACAGATTATTTTCAAACAAATGTGTCTTGTAAATATTTTATTTGATCTTAGAAATATTTTTTTAGACCTCCATCCAACTTAAGAAAAGACTCATTTTACTGTTGTAAAAAACTTGCCTAAAATTATAAAACAGTTTGGCCTAACCTCTTTGTTGACTTACTTGCTGATGCCGAACCAGAGGATCAGAAGTATTGTTACTGAATGACAAAAAGGGCAATAGGAAA